GAGTGCCCAGGTGCGTCTCCGAACCTAAATTAGAGTGTGAACCATTGTCCTGAAGCCGGATGTTGGTGGATGACGGGATTAGCAATCCAAGGAACTAATCAAAATCCGCAGCCAGCTGGAGTCTAAGCTTGCTATTCAGCGACATGGCGCCCAACGTGGGGCCCTGTCGCTCAATAAGTCAATCTTTTAGTTCCATAAAGGCTCAACTAAAATTTGTTAATTAGCAACTTTATTGAATGTAGTAGTACTTTTCTCATTTCGACATTAATTGAATCAACATCTCTTTAGATTTTGGGAGACTCCTCGACAGTTGCGTAACGCGGAAACCAGTCTCCAGTTCCGTTTTAAAGACCGCCATCGCTCGAGAACGAACGGTCCTCATTAGCATGGAGGACTAACGGTGATTAAAAGTAAAGAATGCGTGTGAGAAACGAGAGTAAATTCACTGCGCGCTGAAAAGTGTTACGGCGCGAAACGGTAATCGAAGTAGGCTAGGAAATGGTGAGCAGCCACCGAATTCACCGTTTCTTCTGGGACGGCGACGCACGTGTAGTGCCTGGTACGATAAGAGACCCACATTCCAAAAGTGGGGTGTAACAAAAATACACACAGTATACGAGTACAAATGACACACAGACGCATCTTAGGGCGCGTGATTGTCAGAAGAAAGCTCCGCCAGCCTACTTGATTTCGGCAAAGACAAGTGAACGCTGTTACGCGTGCAAAAAGTACGGCGCTTCGACCTTGGCTAAAGAGCACCGATGGAATGTTTAATGTTCATTAAATCGCACGAAAATGTTTGTATAATACTACGTGTGGTTCGCGATGATAAGAGGATTAAATAACTAATTGTTAAACGTGCATTTTTCGACGTCACCTCGCTGGTTGACGCGGTATTTTTGACGTAAGAGTACCGAGATAATGGACGCTGACGTAAGGTCCCACCGGGTACCACGGCGGACCAGTTGCTACAATCACTGGGTGTACTGGACAGCTGTTACCAGAAAATTGAGGCGACGACGCGCGCAAATGTGAATCCCATGAATGAGAAGAATTCCGGGAATCGCCGAGAAATAAACAGGCCAGATCAGCAGATGGTTGGACAAGCTGTTTCAACTTCTAGATTATCAGCAATTTGTGAGAATCGGAGCTTTCATAAATGATTAAAAGTCACGTGACTGTCGAGCATAGGCAACCAAAAATGTAGGATTGGTACTATTAGATGTACGAGGTTTTGAATCGTTGATATTTCATTCAGTTTTCTTGATATGGTGATATTGTATGTCGTGTTAGTGACGATTTTTGAAATGTGCGACTTTCTGGGAACTGGGGAAAGCTTTCACGGAAACGTTGCAACTTTTGAAACATCCTAACGGAGATGATGCTTTAGGTTGTACGCAATATTACGTAGACCAGGATATCTACCCCGAAAAAGACCTGATTTTTTGTGAGCAGATAGTAAAAATAGTGTAGAATAATATGTACTGTATCCGCACGCTTTTAAACGCGGGCGACATTGTTTAAAAGTTGATCAAACATTAGAAATTCGCGTTTTTCGATAACTTTTTCTCTGACGGTTCTACAGAGAAATGGTACAATACTTTTTTGTTCGTCTTTAAAAGATTTCCCATACTTGACATCTCAAAATATGATTATAAAAAAGTAAGGTATAAATCTTAAAACCAGTTAATTGTAAACCATTCAACCACAAATCTTGAAACCATAAGTCTAAAAACTTAACCTAATAAACCTAAATTCATTAAACTAAACTCAAAACCCAGACCAGTAAAATTTAAACCAATAAAATCTAAACCCACAAAACCTAAACCAACAGGATTATGGTTTCAAGAATTTGTGGTTGAAGGAGACAAGAACCAATAACGCATAAAATTAATAACAAAATAAAAAAAAGTTCGGTTATTTTCTGAACAGACCTCGTATACAATACGTATCATTTTAGAAATAATTGTCGCGGATTATTACAACGGACTATATAGACCAGGCAATAAAGAACGATTTACCCCAAAATATCTAGATTTTCGCGGCCCGGTCCGATTTTAATGCATTTTTTTTGCATTTTGTTCAGAAAGACCGTCGGAAAAAAGTCCCGCCTTTTTTATTATCCGGAAGTGATGGAAATGCATCGCGGATGCATAAAGTGCATCTAAAAGTGCATCGTATCCGAGAAAGATTGGTATTCGGGGGTTTTGGGGGGCGCAGAAATCGAATATGCATATATCCAGTCCACCCGACCCCCCGGGGGGCGACTTTCGGCCGCCTGGGGGGCGCGGGGGGTACGTGGATTGCAAGGTTCTCCGAATGACTGAAATCTAAAGTTCTCGAAATGACTGGGAAAATGTATCTCGGGGGTTTTCGCGGGTGTTGATTCCGAATCTGAGGGAGAAAAATATCCCTTGTGCTCGTGATTGATGATTTTCCATTAATTTATATTCATCCTTCTTAGAAGATTAACGCCTTTCCCCAAAATAATCAGAAATAGTCATCGGACGCATTTGGCAGGGTCAGATTCGGAATCAGCACCGGCAAAAACTCCCGATATACATTTTCCCAGTCATTTCAAGAACTTTAGATTTCATACCCGCCACTTCCGGATAATAAAAAAGGCGGGACTTTGTTCCGACGGTCTTTCTGAACAAAATGCAAAAAACCGCATTAAAATCGGACCGGGCCGCGAAAATCTAGATATTTTTCTCTTTATTGCCTGGTCTAATATCACTCGTTTCTCCTATCGCTGAGATCATGAGGACAAAAATCCATCGCACCCCGTATACCCGAGTGCCTCGCCGTTACGCAACGCCGATGGAACGGTGGCACAGAATAAGTAACAGTAAAAAATAAAAGTCGAAGGTGTCCGGCGGCCGTGTACGAATCGCTATTCACTATTACCGAAGTGACCTCTTTCACATACCGGCAAGTGGGACACGGCGACTGCCACGCAAATTGAACAGCAGCCGGTGGAATAGATTGATAGCGCGCCTCACAACTAGCTCGGTTACAAATATTTTATGGGCTTATTACGGTTAGCTATTGCCAAGGTTAAGGTAAAAGTATTACATGAGGCTGGTCGTTAATTTCATCAGGATACGCAACCGTAGGACTTGAAAACGCTAATATTAACGCCGCAACGAGGCGGTCGCGTATTTACGGCGAGGTTAAAATTATTAGCGGCGTTCCATTCAATCATGTATGACCACACCGGGGTAGATAAGATCACTCGAAATGGAAGCACTCACTTCACAAGTGAGTCACTTGTGTCATAAGACTGTCGAATTTTTAACAAGATATACCCAATAAGGGAAGAAGGAGAGTGATGTGATGGTTTTGTTGTACTTTTTACTGATAGATGGAGCAATTAAAATGTAAAAATTCGCTTCAATTTTATATTTTTTCAAATCCCACATAAATAGTGATTTAATTTCAATTTTAGTTCGATTTTATCAGCAAATATTGTAACGAGTTGTCAGTGTTGCGAGAAACAACTACTCCGAGAGCTATTTGCCCCTACCGGCATTGAATTATACTCGCAACACCTAGGATCGTTTGTCATCAGTTTAACCCACCAGGCACAGACCGGTTTCGGACTTATTAGTCCTCATCAGTGTGTCGTAGGTCGGACAACCGACAAACGACTCAGCTGTTCTTCGTCGTATCATCACGAAAAGGAAATACATTGTACGCGGGAGCGCACGACAGATGGAGCCATTTGCGCTCCCGCGTACAAATATTGTAACGTTTTTTTCAGTAACTAACGAACCAATTGTAAAAATGGAAGAAAGGTCTACTTTATAGTTTATTAAATTTTCAAATAACTGACCATTAGATATAAAAAAAATAATACACCTTTAAAACTCAACCAAAAAGTAACCAAATAGTTAAAATAACGAAAAATCTAATCTCTCAGGAAAAATACGATATGCTCATGCTTTGTATTCGGATCAACATCAACAATAAGAAGAAAATCAAAGGAAATATCCTTAATAGCAGCTTTCTTAAAAACTGAAGCCTCAAACAAGGGAGGAAAATCCTACTTTCTATTGAGAGACATACTATGAATTTTTCGAATTTAAAACTCAACACTTCACAGGGAAATAAACTATGTATTACTTTTTGATGTGGCAACGACCCCAGATCTGTTCCCTGAGGAATTAAGGTTAACTGCCAATAATTTGGCAGCGAGTTTGCATACTGGCACATTATATTTCCTGAAAACATAATAAATCGGTTCCTAAGATCATTTCCAAAGCGAATCGTCATTGAATAATGTTGCTCCTTCGACCGAACCAACTATTCGCTTTTAATGCAAACCATCCATCTCTAAGCGGAATACGACCGATTCATCATGATGAACTAACACAGATTGAATTGGTATTTTAAAACCGTCGAAAACGATATAAATTCCCTCGAAAGGTCAGGGGGCGAATACCTACCGGTGTCGAAATTTCTTGAACTTTCCTCGATACAGGAAATCGTCGTCTAAAAATGTAATTATGGGTGTGCCTGTCGCTTAACATCTCATTTGAATATCGCATATTACCACAACCGCTTAAATATAATTTAAAGCTTGAGGTTTACGCTCGTTTTTTTTATTTGGTATATGTTGCTCTCACTTTCACACGGATTTGCGTTAAGGTTGGCGTTTTATAGACAAGATATCGCACTTTTGAACAAGCGGCATCCTAAATTACAAATTTCTTTACACCAAAATGTAATTTGAGTTTAAAACCAAGTCCATTTTATAGAAAATCTGCGTTAGAATGGAGGAAAGTCCGTTACTTGTGCATTAATCCATATTTAGACAAACTGTGCAATAAAATCTACAAAATTGTATTGTTGGTTGCCTATTTGCTATAGAGCCTTCTTAAGGATATTTCTCCATTAGGTGGTGAAACGGCACCGTTTTCAATTTGATTTTCGAACATTGCCAGTACACCAGCAGGGAAAAAGCGAATACAGAGTTACGTGTATGGAACGGTACTTACGATATCGTGTCCCTGGGTACCGCCTTTGACCACTTCCGGGGCCATGTACTCGATGGTACCGCAGAACGAGTACGCCCTTTGTTCGCTGTCGGCCCTCGGTAGTTCCTTGCTGAGACCGAAATCGGTGAGTACGATGTGGCCCGACTCGTCCACCAGGATGTTCTCCAGTTTGATGTCCCTGTAGATGATGCCCAGCTGTAAAAGAAAGAAGACACTTGAAAAAAAAATTAAACATATTCACTTGGGGCAGATTATAGTACAACAGTACTGACGCAAGTACTAGAAGGAAATCCGACTAGACTTCAAGTAACCTTGTCACCAGTTGCAAACCCGATGTATATCAACTAATCTCGTCTGTTGACGTAATTAATTTGAAAATATTTGACGTGGCAAAGAACCAAGGCGTTCCTTCGCGCAAGAAAGTTAATATATTAATTTTAACTGGAACAATGTCGACTTGAACTGATTTTAATTGCGCCCACTCGGCGTCTTCCGTGGCTGAGGAAGTACGAAATGATTCAGGCTACGAACGCACATGTCGGAATGTCAGGAAATGCCTCGTTAGAGACGAAAGGCAAAACGAAGTAGATATCTTGTGACGAGTGGAAAAAAGAGCGTTCAAAACAAGTGCCGAGTGTTGAATTCACATGTGCAATTGAAAAAATAGGCCTATTTATTACGGTTCTAAGTAGCAATGAACTTTATCATTGTTTTCAAATGGAAATACTCCTTCAAGCCGGTGTGAATTTAAATAAAATAATTTTATTAGGTATTTCCTAATAACTGCAGTTGTAAACTGCAAGATCTTGTATGCAATTAACTGTTGCCAAATCTCTTTATAAACGCCCAAAACTCGTTTCTGGATGGATTTAGAGACCAATGAAAAGTAGTTTAGGGAACCTTATTATTTTATACTGGACAAAATGAACACCTTATTAATGTAAACTCATAAAAACTGGTTTATTATTCGCGTTTTAGTAAAAAGTAAAATAAATTGAATGAAATGCCTGATGTAGAAAAGTTCGATCAATTAATAATAGTAATAATAATAATAATACTCTTTATTATTCCAACAGGAAGAAACCCAATTACAGGAATAAGAAAACATGACAAAAGTACAATAATTACAATAATTTGTGATGCATGTACCTACACCTATATACATACATAAATAAATATATATAAATAAATGTACTACTAATAGATAAAAAAATTTACAAAAAAACAAAAAAAAATTACGTTCCAACATGATACAAATAAAATGTAATTTACAAAAAATACAAGTCAACATAAAATCACGTTAAACGAGCCACCCAGCTACATATACTATTTAATGCATCACTATGTACAGGGTGTTAAAAAAAGAGTTTGAAATATTTCAAGAGGTAATAGTATGAACCAAAATAAGCAGAAAAGTCTTAATAAACATGGGTCCGCAAAGTAACGGTTGCGGAGATATGGACCACTATTCGTGGTAAAAGGAAGCTTTTAACAAACAAAAAACAAAGTTACAGAAGATGTTCAAAGTGCCCTCCGTCCATTTCCAAGCAGGCACGACATCTTCGTCTCAACGATATTCGAACTCTTTCGCAAACACCCTCCTTGGTTTGGATTTCTTGACACTTTAATCCGTAGCTGCAGCTCTTCCAGGCTATTTACAGGAGTACCATACACTAATGTCTTCAAATATCCCCAAACAAAGAAATCTAGAGGGTTCAGATCAGGCGATCTTGGAGGCCATAAAACAGGTCCGGCCCTTTCTACCCATCTATGTGGAATAGTTTGGTGTAAATGCTCTCTAACGGCCATGGAAAAATGAGCTGGAGCACCATCATGCTGGAACCATATTTGTTGCCTCTGATTCAAAGGAATGTCTTTCAAAAACTCATACAGTGTGGTCTGCAGATGGTATGGATAAAGCAGTTGCTCGTGGATTCTCCAAACAAGAGGACCACTAATTCCTACCTCGGCTGATATTCTCCGCACACTCGTACCTGGATTCTGCTCTACCAGTGCTAGAATTTCTTCTTCTGCTCTAGGAGTGGATACCGACCTTGGTCTTCCGGATAATGGCACTGTTTGCTCAAGGAACCGATATCACGCAATCTTTGGTGAATTCTTCCAAACATGTTTCCAAACATTCCACGTTTTTGCAAAATAAAAAACTTATTTTGGTTCATACTATTACCTCCTTAAATATTTTACACTCTTTTTTTAACACCCTGCATGTCACAGTTAGAAGCAATTTTATTAAAAAGTCCACACATCAATGAGATAGGAGACTTTGTTAAAATGTTTGTACGAGGAGCAATACAGTCTAGAATCCTCACGAGGTATCAAAAAATGTTTTTTTCCTAAAAGTTCAGGACAATCAATATTGTTATTTAAGACGTTGTACAAAAAACGAATCAACATAATATTACGTCTGATTTCCAGTTAATCAAAATTAAATCTGTTAAACAGTTGATTCTGGGGAAAACCTCTGGGAGGATAAGACCTATCTTGCAAATAAGATACAAATTTTAAAAACTGTCTTTGAACTTATTCCAACCGCTGACAATGAACTTGACAAATTGGATACCATATCATGCCATATTATTTCAGTTTAGATCTCACAAGAGCACAAAACAGGGTTTTAGAAGTGCTTGTACTGGAAAAATCCCGGCAGTTACAATAAATAAAACCATACGATTTAAAGGCACCAGAATCAGTATTATTGATATGATCAATAAAAGTAAGTTTACTGTCAAAGTATATACCCAAATCCTTGGATACTTCTATTCCACCAACAACACTATCACCAATGGAGTAGTTATAAATGGGAAAGCTAGTCTCGCGAGTGTAAGTCATTACATGGCATTTAGATATATTAAGATTCAGACGATTTATTTCACACCATGAAGTCATTTGATTGATACATTCTTGAAGGCGAATATAAATCTGAAGGAGATTTGATTTCAGAATAAAGTTTAAAATCATCCGCAAATAACAAATGTTCACAAGTGATAACATCTGGAAGATCGTTAATAAAAAATAAAAATATATGGGACCCAAATTTGAGCCTTGAGGAACGCCTGATATAAATAAAACATAATTACCCTCTCTCACTTAATATAAAAACAATTAAAAATACTGAGTGATGACTTCTTGAACAGACCAGCTCCCACAAAAATATCGATTTCTTATAATTTTGGATATATTGAACGAATAGAGAGAGACGAACTTCTTGATAATAATTATTAATTATGTCCACTAGATATAGCGGTCCTTATCTGGCTGTGTTTAATTGAACAGATAGTGACATTTCAAGTTAAATAATTATCCGAGATTATACGACAGCACAACCTTGGTCATTTATAGAAAACGAATATTTGCGGGAGAAATATCCGATACAATATATCTTATCCTAGAAAGTAAAAACCCGTACAGAGGTGAACGACCGTTAAGGGCATCCATATGTTCGGTTTCAGCCCACCCCAACCCCACATGGCATCTAACGCGAGTGAAAATCGACGCACATGCGGGATATATTTAGGAAGAGTTACCTGGCAAATTGAAATTAGTGAAATATGTTACCAAAACATACCCATTTACAGTAGGTTGTTCTAAAAAAGCAGTTCAGAGTGTATTTTACATGCTTAGCGTATCGAGCTGGGAGAAACAAATGTAATTAACAACTTAATTCCGTTTTGGCGGCCGTATATCAGTTTCCATATTAATAATTGATTTGATAACGAGGCGGGATCAGAATCTATTAAATGATTGGCCTTTCATTTCAAGCTCGACCACCGCACTTTGTTTTATCTACACGGCTTTCAAGGCCGATTATTTTTTTCTTTGCAGCTATTGCGTAAGGGGATATACAAGAAGTAATAACTGTTACACGAAACGGTAAACTACCAGCAAGCGCATTTCATTTAGAGCAGAGAATTCTGCTCAGGTTCAGGGGAAAAACAGTTAAGATTTTTTTTTTTTGGAAATTCTACTCGTTAGAATATGAACCCCACATTTATTCACCTTAGTGGAAACTAAATTAATACAAGGAAGTATTAATAGTTGCCTTCCAAACTCAAGGTGATCTTATCTAAGGTGAAATCAACGCTTGCTTCGTAATCAGTTTTATACCTGTGCATTAACTGAGCTACAGGAGTAATTATTTTTAGAAATTCCCAGTGAAATATTTTGATAATCCACACAACAAACGAACCACTAAAATAAACACTGCTGATAAGAACGAGAACTCTGTTATTATTAAATGTCAAAGCTTCGTGTATATTATAAATACACAAGAATAAAGTAAAATCACATTTTGAACTTGTTTCGTGCGCTTTTTTTTCTTGAAGTTGAAAGAAACATTAAAGTTATACCAGGTGAGTTCCAAATTAAACAGGACTTTTCAAATATAGGTACTTCTAGTGAGGACAACTATTGTTAATTACATTCGTTGGAAGGGTAGATCACTCACAGATGTACTGTCAAAATTTCATGTGACATTTGGACGAATAGAAGCGTTTGAAGTTACAGTATGTTTGTGTCATCGGTACAAAAATGAGCATCGAACAAAGGGGCTAACCGAAATCGGTGATCACAGCAGATCCTTTCAAAACTGCGTGAATTCATCAAAGATCAGCCAAAAATGTCCAGAAAGCACAGAAGGCGTTTGTTGGACGATAATTCGCCGTTTCATCGATCGACACGTATTCGCCTGATTTGGCACCGTGCGACTTGTAATTTTTGGAAAAAATGCATTTGCCGATGAAAGGAAAACGTTATCTGAACGTAGAAGCCATCCAAAAGAATTGTACCGACATTCCTGAAGGACATCCTGACCGACGATCTTTTAGATGCTTTTAGACCGTGCAATTCGCTGTACTGATTCGGAAGGGGACTATTTTGCATAAAATAAATCGGTTTTGCCAAAAACTTTTCGTTGTTATTTTTAAAAAGTTCCGTTTATTTTGTACCCACCCTGTACCTAGTACTCACTCCACAAAACTGTAACTGTATTTCAATCATTAATATTAATATTCATTAATATTGTAATATTTGAAATACTTGGGACTGTTACTGGTACTGAGTGTAATATATATAAAATGTGCTAAACATTTCTGGAATATCTAGAGGTGTTGTGTTATCTGATCTAAGCAATTATTGTTACACACCATATCTAGTAGATATTTTTCTAATAACATAAT